TGGCAGACAAAGAGCTGGTCTGAGGTCCTGAAGCTTTGTGTCCAGTCTACATAGCATCTCAAAGCTCGGACGGGACAAAGCAAAGCTAGGGCTGGGTCTGCCTCCTCCGGGGGCAGCGCTTGCAGGCTCACCACCTGATCCCTGAAGGGAGTAGTGGGAACCTTGGGCACATAGCCGGGCCGGGGCCTCGGGATTACCTGGGAGTCAGCCGGCCCAAACTCTAGGCACGAACCGTCAACCGAAAATGCATGCAGGTCCCCTAACCTCTTGATGGAGGCCAGTGCAAGCAGGAGCAGAGTCTTCATTGATAGAAACTTCAGCTCAACTGTCTGCAAAGGCTCAAATGGGCCCTGCTGTAGTGCTCCGAGCACTACACACAGGTTCCAAGAGGGTATAGAGGGGGGCCGTGGAGGATTTAGCCTTCTCACCCCCCTAAGGAACCTGATTACCAGGTCATGCTTCCCCACCGACTTCCCTGCCACGGGGTCATGGTTGGCAGCAATCGCAGCCACGTAGACTTTTAAGGGTGGAGGGAGACAGCCTTTGCTCCAACCCTTGCTGCAGAAAGGACAGCACGACTCTGATAGGGCATTTCCGGGGGTCTTCTCTGTGAGAAGAACACCACTCGACGAACAGGTTCCACTTCAAAACGTAAGCGTGTCTCGTAGACTGTGCTCTCGCCGAGGTGATTGTGTCAACTACCTCCTGGGGTAGGTCACCTAGAACCTTCACGTTCCTCAGAGGAATCAAGGAGGGGCTGTCACGAGGAGCATCAGTTCCGGGAACCAGGTCCAAGTGGGCCAATAAGGCGCCACGAGCTGAACCTGCTCCTCGTCCTCCCTGATCTTGCACAGTGTCTGTGCGAGAAGGCTTACTGGGGGAAACGCATACTTGCGAAGACCCCGCGGCCAGCTGTGCACCAGTGCATCCGTGCCGAGTGTTCCTTCGGTCAGGGAGTAAAACAACTGGCAGTGAGAAGTCTCTGGAGACACAAACAGGTCTACCTGAGTGGCTCCGAAACATCTCAAATCTCCATTCCCCGGGGAGCGCAGCCTGTGACAGCTCGTCGGCTGCCCGGTTGTGCAAGCCCGGTATGTGAATGGCACGAAACGACCTCAGATGCTTCTGACTCCAGAGGATGAGGTGGCGGGCGAGTTGTGACATGCGATGGGAGCATAGACCACCTTGTTGGTTGATGTAAGCAAAGGTTGCAGTGTTGTCTGTGCGGACCAGCACGTGCTTGCCTCATAAGAGTCCTCAGAGACGGTTCAAGGCAAGGCGTACTGCTAACAACTCTAGACAGTTGATGTGCCAGTGCAGTTGGGGGCCAACTGGGGGTCCAAATCCCCGATACTGCATGCCCGTTATACGTGGCCCCCCAGCCGGTGGTGGAGACATCTGTGTAAAAGCACAGCATGCCTGGAGACCTGTTCTACGCCCACCTTGGGACTCGGCCAGTCACATAGAGCCAGTGTTGAAGCGGTCTCATATGAAGCAGCCTTAGCGGCGTAACTGCCGCTGCAGATGTCATATGCCCCAGGAGCCTCTGAAACTATTTCAGTGGGACCGCCGTCCTGCTCTTGAACATATTCAGGCAGTTCAACACCGACTGAGCACGTCCCTGCATGAGGCGTGCTGTCTATTCGACCGAATCCAACTCCATACTGAGAAAAGAGATCCTTGCTCTTTTCCCAATTGACCTGAAGGCCCAACCGGCTGAGGTGTGAGAGCACCAAGTCCCTGTATTCGCACAACTGATCGTGAGACTAAGCTAGTATGAGCCAGTCGTCGAGATAGTTGAGAATGCGGATGCCCTGCTCTCTCAGGGGAACAAGGGTTTACCTCCAGAACTTTCGTGAAGACACGGGGCGACAGGGACAGCCCGGAGGGCAGGACCTTGTACTGATATGCTCGTCCTTCGAATGCGAACCGCAGCAATGGTCTGAGGATCGACACATGAAAGCACGCATCCTTCAGGTCGACCATTGCAAAACCAATCTCGGGGACGGATGCACCCAAAGATGCGTTTCTGTGTCAACATCTTGAACGGTAACCGATGAAGGGCCCGGTTCAAGAGACGCAGGTCCAAGATCGGTCATAACCCACCGCCATTCTTGGGTACAATGAAGTAGGGGCTGTAAAAGGGGCTGTGGAGATCACAGTCCTACTGGTGAAGGATGTGTTAGAGCCGGTCCCTCCAGCTGATATGACGATTTCTTCATATCAGCTGGAGGGACTGCATCTAACACATCCTTCACCAGTAGGACTGCGATCTCCACACGCAAGACAGGAGCATCGGCCGCCTTCACTAATGTGAAGCGGATGCCGCTGAACTTGGGGGGACGCCAGGCAAACTGAATTGCATAGCCGAGTTTGATGGTCCGCAGGAGCCAGCGAGACGGTTTGGGTAGCTAGGCACCCAGACACCGTACAAGCTGGACCAGCAGGACCACTGACGTACTCGCAGTGGGGCAGCAAGTTGGAATGCAGGGATCCGGTCCATGGGCGGACCGAAGAGGGGTCTGAGTGAGCTGAGTGACCCTCCGCAACCAGCAGACTGAGGCACTGCCGCTGGTGGCCGGGTGGAGGCAGCAGTTGCCCGCCGGGGCAGGATGTGTTTGATAGCCTCAGTCTGCTTCTGTGTGGCGGCGAACTGCTGGGCGATGTTCTCCACTGCGTCGCCGAAGAGGCCGGTCTGGGACACAGGGGCATTTAAAAACTGAGTCTTGTCGGTCTCCCTCATGTCGGCCCGACACAGCCAGATATGGCATTCCTGAACCACCATAGTGGACATCGCACGGTCCAGAGACCACGCAGTGACCTTCGTCGCTCGTAGCGCGAGGTCAGTAGCGGTGTGGAGCTCCTTAAGAACTTCTGGGTCATGCCCACCCTCGTGCAGGTCCTTCAGTGCCTTGGCCTGATGAACCTGCAACTGGGAACCCCGCGCCCCTTTGCAGGAAACGGAGCCTGGTCCGCAACTCCGTGTCATTTTTCTGCAATGAGAGCATGACTCGTCCACAAACACTCAATCGTGACCATCACCCGGCGCTAGGTAACGACCGCATCCAGAAACGCACGGGTGAAAAGGCATCTTTAAAAAGACGTC